TAGAAATCGCATTTATGATGGAAAAGGTAAAAGAAAACATAGCAAAGTACATGCGTGAAGGTAGTGGTTGGACATTTGATCACATTGACATGCACAACGTGTGTTTAAAACTTTTAAATGTCAATCCATGCAAGATTACCACAATTTATACTTCAAAGGTGATGTGACACAACTACAAGTCATCTTTGAAGATTTTAAAGACATTTGTTTAACACATTATGGACTCGACCCATTACATTATTATACATCACCAGGGTTAGCGTACGATGCAGCGTTAAAAATAACTAAAGTAAACTAGAATTGTTATACGACCCAGATATGTTATTGTTCTTTGAAAAAGCCACTAGAGGGGGTATTTCTCAAATAAGTCATCGACATGGTAAGGCTAACAATAAATACATGAGTAAGCGCGACACAATACTACCTACTAAATACTTAACGTATTTAAGAGAGGATACAAACGTAAACATGTGGTGGATGGTAGTTGTCTGTTTGACACGATCGCTAATTTAGCTGGACGTATGTTTACCTCTTCTATCGCAAAGACTCTAGGAAGTAAAGCCATGACTGCTGCCACTAATGCAGCTCTTAAATGTGTGGAAAAGGAAGCCACCAAAGCTGTGGATCATGTGATTCGTAGGAAACCAAAAACAAAGACTCCTCATCAACAAGCCCGTTTGAACAACATCATTTCATCCTCTAAAAGCAAAAATCAGCAGAAAACCCGTTTGAACAATATTATCTCAGACAGTGGTATTGCAACCATTCACGACTTCGTCAAACGCTATAAATAAATGAAAGATATACTTAGTATCACAGAAGGTTTTTCTTTTGATGAAAGTATTCAGGAATATCAAGTCTATGAATACGAGCCTCAAACTGGAGCATCCTTAAACAGTTCCGGTGCTGAAATACGAATCAACATCGAAACCAAGGATCTGTTTGTCCATTTATCTGAAAGTTATCTCTTGGTGGAAGGACAACTTCTAAAAGCCGACAACACAACTTATGCCGATGCAGATCTGGTCTCCCTTGTCAACAATGGTATCATGTTTCTCTTCAAAAGCATCGGATACAAACTGTCCGGTCAGCAGATTGAATACCTCAATGATCCAGGAATAGCGACTACTATATTGGGGTTGTTGACGTATCCCAACGACTTTAGCAAATCACAAGGTCTCAAAAAATTGTGGTTTAAAGATTCTACGACTGAAGCCGAAGCCGAAAACACTGGTTTTGCAGATAGACAAGGTTACATTATTACCAAACCTACCCCAAATGGAACGTTTTTGTTTACCCTACCTTGAAATCATATCTTTGGTTTTGCAGTAAATTATACCAAAATCATGTATGGGTTTAAACATGAACTCACATTGGTACGAGATTCCGATGAAAACGCGGTATTCAGAGCAGCAGGAACAGATCGAGCAAAAATTGTATTAATTAAACTATCCTGGTTCGTTCCTTATGTGATCCCCTCCGATGACAACAAGATGAAACTATACAAAACTATTCAAAGCATGACTAAACTCGACTGTGGTTTCGGCATGAGACAGTGCGATTCCATATCCGTTCCCCAATGTAGAGAATTCACTTGGAGACTCTCTGCTAAAAGTGGACGGGAAAAACCTAGATATATCATCGTAGCCTTCCAAACCGATAAAAGTAACGATCAAGTACAAAATGCAGCACTATTTGATCACTGTTTTTTAAGAAACATTTATGTCGCCTTAAATGCACAACGTTATCCAGCTATAGACTTTAACACCCAATTTAATCAGTGTAAAATATCTAGAATATACAAAGAAGCCGTCGATTTTCGTAAATAGTTCTTCAACATGGATCATCTCATAAGTAATAATAATATCAACCCTTCCGACTTTACAGACCTCTATCCTTTGTTTGTGATTGATGTAAGTTACCAATCTGAAAAGCTAAAAGAGTCAGTAGTTGACATTCAAGTCCGAGCAGAGTTCGAACCCAGTGTTCCAGCAAACACCGAAGCCTTTGCACTGGTGATCTTAGATAGAGTCCTGAAGTTCGAGTCTGATGGAACCAAAATGAACGTTGTATTCTAAAGATAAATGGATCATCACTTGTTACAACGCATCGTTCAAAATACAGCACCTAGGGAGGGTTTCTCTTTCATCGTGTCAGCTAATAACAACAAAATCGATACCATGTTCAATCCACTCATTTACTTAAAAAATGGAAAGAGTTATGAAATGGCTCTGGTCAACTTAGAGACTTACTACTCTTTCCCAAATATTCATGCAGGGAACAATACCTTTCGTTATTCAAATGATAATGGTGCCACCAGGTTTACCGTTGCGTTAAACACTTGCTCTCACTCTATCGAAAACATCAACAACGTGTTACAAAGAAATCTACAACTCAACAAACACCTCATCAAAATCGACATCGGTGCTAATCACAGTACACTAAGGGCAACACTTACTTTAGCTTAAAACTATCAAGTAGATTTTAATGTTGTCAATAGCATCAATACAGCACTGGGCTTTAACGAAGAAATTTATACACACGATCGAGCTACAAACGGTTACACAGAGGGTAAGATCATTGTCAACATCATCAGCATCAACACCATTCTCGTCAATAGTGATATCATCAGTGGTAGCTATGTCAATGGATCACAACAACCCACCATCTACAGTTACTTCCCAACTGTATCCCCTGGTATGAAAATCATTCAAACCCCTCAAAACTTGGTCTATTTACCAGTCACACTGAAAACCGTCAATCGCATGAGTACTACTTTTACAGATCAAAATGGAAATCCCATCGATCTGAGAGGTGAATATGCAATCTATTTGGAAATAAATTCATCATAGAAACAAAACTGAAACTGAACGTTTTGTACGCAAGGCGCGCGTTTCTTGTACAAAAGACTCACTATTGAAGATGGAATCAAAAGATTTAAAAAGGCTAAATATAGTACGACGTTGAACAGCATTGAGGACCTAAAATTGCGAGATGTTTACCAAAAACAGCTAACTATTCCTGGGGTTAGAAAATCTTTAGTATTTCGAAAAATTCAAAAGTTTTGTTAATAGTTAATTTTTAGTTTTTTACATAATGCGTATTACTCTTCCTTTTTTTTACATGTAAATCTATATATCAATTTGAATTGAAAAACTATACATTTTGTATGATAACTAAAGATGTTTCTCTGTGAATATTTAATTCTGTTAACAAATTAAGTTTGTATTTCAAAATTTCCTCTTAATTATCACAATTACCATTTTGGGGATTCAATTTGGAATAGCATAAATATGATAACCTAGTATCAATAACAGTTGAAATGCTAGGCCTAAGTTATAAGAAAAGCTGCTTTAATTTTTATTATTTTCATATTTATTCATCTTTCTTTTTTTAATTCTTTTTTAATTTTAAATTAATGTTTTTTTCCATTCTTAGTTGTATTTATATTATGAATATTCAGCAGTTCAAAAGTAATTCAGATGTCTATTTAAACATTCAATATTCAATTTTTCACACAACACTTGAAGTCTAAGTTTAATAAGCATTTGCTATTTAATTTGACTTTTAATATTCAGGTAGTCAACTTTCACAAAGACATTTATAAACGTGGAAGTTTAATTCACTTGTCATTTTGTCAAATTAGCTCATTTATACATTGAAATCGAGTAGCTAAATGGATGGTGCAGCAGTTCATGTCAGGATGCAAATTTCACATTCTCATGATTGATATTCAGAGCGAGAACATGTAAATGTGATATCAACCATTTGTCGTATTAGACGATAAACGGCATATGAATAATTCTGCCATTTATTTGTTGACCGTAATTGAATATCTGTTTCACAGATGACGACAGATATGTTACAATCGTCGTAACCACAATCCCGTACTCCTTTTCCACGAATGTCTCCTACAAAATTAGACTTATTTCCGGGTGTGTACTTAGATGAGAAACACGACAAGTGCCACATATGGAGCAGGATCTGCTTACACTTCCGGGGACCCTGAGATCACCCCCAGTTTTTGGTGGGGTTCGTGTTGCTCAGACTTTAGTTTTGTGTTTTGTATACTAGTGTTGTTTGTCTTTTGGTCTTTTGCCATGGCGTTGTCAGTTTGTTTTCGACTTATAGATTTGGATGTTCCTTTTGTATCTTTCGCCTCTCTCTTATTCGTTTAACTTATTGAGCTGGTTGTAAAAAAGAAACGCTTTATTATATTAATTCTTAAAAAGGTATTCGAAACAAAAACAACCTGCAAAAGAAACAATACAAAGGCAACATAGTGATACTTTTGTGGCACAAACCAAAAGATTGATTACTTATCGTGCCGATATGCCAATGTTATAGCTTTGTTGATGGTTGATTATGAAAAAGTACAACTCATTATAGAAATGTAATATTATTAGGAAAACTTGATGTACATAGACCTTTTTTTATAAATTTTAAATCAACTGTATCTTCGGGGCAGTATAAATGAATACAAAATTTCATGAAAAAATATAATACTCAATTTCGTATACTTTGCCTTAAGAAGACATGCACATATTTTAATGAAGATGTTGGATTTAATTAAATAAACGATATGAATGCAAAGACATTATTGTATAAATCATACAAATATTAATACTTATATTCAGATTCATTTCCATAAGTTCTAAATGTATACGTATACTTTGCCTAAAATAATGTTAAAGGATTTTTTTGTACAATATGTGCTTTATGAAGGCATGATTATGCAGATATAACACGACTCTCCATTACATACATTTATCTGCTTGCAAGGGTCTTTTAGCTTGACGACAATCTAATATCAAATCGGAACAACGTTACCCTAAACATTTTTAATAACATAAGACGTAGAAATTTTCTGCACCAGATGCTATTTTAAACAAATAATGATTCTTCAGACGGCTCGATTCCAAATATTTCTAAACTGAAAGATAATACCAAGAACTGATATAACTGTTCGCTTTTAATTGTTCTTTTAATAATTCACATACCTCCAGTTCTGTCGAATTCGTTTTCTATCATGTCATTGTAGGTTTTCTTTGTAAAGTCTTGAGATATGTTTACCACAAGGAGATAAATTGCATTAGTACTAAGAAATGTCTGGTGAGTGGCATAGAATTCTTTCTGTCCTGCAAAATCCCAAAATCCACAGTCTGCATACTGCTCAGTTTCATATTGACTGATTGAAGATTCGTTACCTACATAGATAAGAAATAAAGATACATAAAAAGGTAATCATATGAGTAATTCAACTGTTTTAAATATACTTAATGGTCTGTACTCAAATAACTATATATAGCTCTTTGTGTCGATCTTACGATACCATCATACAGACTCTGACTTGCATAATTGCGTGCATTTATCTAAGAGCATTTAATTTGGTTCTTTTCATCTCTGTGATAATGTTTCAATCATATTAACGTGAGTTTGTATATTATCCTATTTTTTTTCATTAATTTGCCTAGTGCCATTGTAAATATTGTGCTGCATATTAACCATAAAAAATACACAGATTTTATAAATTACTTTTTTACGAATTCTTGATAGTCCTCCGGATGTCACACATATATTCATGAATTACCCTTTACCCGGAAATGTACCTTTATCCAATTACTCTCAACCAGAAAACAAAACTTTTCTCAACAAAGCAAAATATTTTATAGTAGGTCTTGAAACGTTTTACTCTTAAACGGAAACGTATTTACTGTTATCTAAAATACCGTAAAGAGGGTTATTTTCGCGGGGTATTTAATTTCGATTATTTTGGCGGAAAATTCAAAATCGCAAAAATGTATTCCGCGAAAATGTATGCTAACGTTCGGTACTTCCTAATAGCTAAAGCGTTTTGTAAACGATCTATTTTTTTCCAGTCGGCAGGTCAATGACGGTAAAGGTTAGTTTTAACAAATTACATGCCAAAGGACATTGTGCATACATATGTATACCCTTATTAATTAGTGTCTTATAATATAAGATTGTAAGGTACTCTGTCGGGTATTTTACCCTTATTACAGTCGTTCTACAGTTAGTGTGACAAGTCTTGCTAAAGTACAATGTTTACAATAATTTTATCATTTTGAGATCGCCCCGTCATTTAAACCGTCATACTCTGACTCGTATTTGGACTCGGGTCGGAAAATCTCTAGTAGTCGTATAGGAAGACTACAAACATAACCACAGGACTGATAATTGGCTATAATTTACTTTTGTTAGTTAATCTATTCATTACAAATGCGTTTAGTATAACGCTTCATGTAGCACAAGATTACCTTGTTTGGTTTGATTATTCAATCAAAACCTGATAGCCGTATAGAAAAATGACAAACAATACACCTAGCGTGATTATAACGAGAGACTGAAAAAATAGGCTCGCCTAACGATAAACGATCGCTCCCCTCTATTGTTGCTACTGTACTACATTACAAATAAATCATGATAAATACATGTAAATGTTTTACAGCCATAATTTTCACTAGGTTAAAAATATTTAGCCTTGTAGTTTCAGACAGAAAAGAAATTTGAAAATTGGCAAAATCAAAATCAAGAATTGACTCTGAGTGCTATAATTGATACGAAAGTATTGCATATGTCTCGCATTCAGCCACACACAACGGAAAGTTTCACAGCATCGGAAAAAATAAATAAAAGCTACTAATTTCACTAATATTCTTAATTTACAAATAGCCATATCCAGGAAACATTGACAGTGTTTTTGAAGGGGTTATAGTATTTATATCATCGCATATAGCTATTTCTGTGAAATCTGAAACAAACCCGGTGTGGCGTCGTAAAAATCCTTCATAACCTTGAAAAAAAAATTAGAACGGGTTAAAGTCTGGATGGTATGGTGGTTGAAAAAAAAGTTCGACATTATGTTGGTTACGCTATGTCCTCATATAACCGTTAACAAACCGGCCATGGTTCATTGACTGAATTTATTGCATAATCTACATGTTAAAGTTTTTTTTTTTAATTTCAACATTTGCATCTTACTATCAAAAAAACAAAAAGGCGAGACATATCTCGGTGTTAACAGTTTATATTAAAATTGTACACAAACTCCATTATACAGTACACCAAACAGTCGATACTTATAATTTGGCATTGCAATATATAAGTATATATGTATCGTGGCGCTAAACTTAAGAGTTATATTTATATATATGTAAGACTCAGACGACGCCCGGTCTCTAATCGACGTCCGTTCCTCAAATCAACGTCCAAATCTGACGTCATAATGAAATAAGATTCCAAATCGACGGATAATTCTAGGACCCTCTAATCGACGTCTTTTTATTGTTCTCAAGTCGACGTCAAATATTTTGGCTTCTCTAATCGACGTCCTTTTACGACTTGCCGCAATGACGTCACAATTTTAATGAAAACAACTCTCATATTCCTGAATTCATACAATGCATTTTCCGATAACAAATGGTTTGGTTCAACCTATAACTAAAACAGTTATCTTGCAGAGTCCAAATAATAATACTTTTCAACTATTGCCTCTATTTCTATTGTTTCTATTGTTTAAGACTGTATATTGCTCCCTAGATGTCTTTCGATTATCTTTGTTGTTGTCTCATTGATGTCGTATATCCACATGTCATTTATTTATATGAAAATGAAATGAATAAGACAACGTAGATCGAGTGGATTACCTTCTTTCACCAAAATATTGATATGCATGTACATGTAATATGATGTCGGTGTTTGTCTTATTGTCATTTACTGATGTTTGTCCTTTTTATTGTATTATGTTGATTATTTGGGACAGGATGTTGTATACTTTGTTCATCGATGAGAGGAGACTCCGATCGATAGGATGTCGTTTTGGTAATACATGGCGTCACATTGGACGTCGATTAGGGGGGAAAATATTGGACACGGATTTTAGAACGTGACTGTACATTGGACGTCGATTTGAGGAACGGATGTCGATTAGAGACCGGACGTCGATGTGAGTCTAACATATATGTTAGAGGGAATTTGTAAACTGATGTGTTTTGTAAAACCTATAAAATAATTCGTGATTTTATTAAATCACTGACATTGTTATTAATTTTATAAAATCACTGACATTGTTATTAATTTTATAAAATCACTGAAAGTATTGCTAGGGATTTGTAAAATGAATAATTGGCATATGTACAGATATAAAGACTATAATTTATTCATTTTTGAATAATAAATTTGGTCGACATCTGCTGTTACATAATTGCTCTGTTTTTCGACAAGCACACCTTAGAATACCTTTACTTTCAATTTGATTTTGATTATTAGAGTATAGAGAAAATATAGAAAATTATTTATTCCTATGGATGTATATTACAGTATGTAAGATATGACCAAAGCAAACTAAGCATGCAAAGATAGTCAAGATGGCTTTTTTTTTAAAGAAATTCATCGGTAAAAATCATTGCATCATAAAGAAATCGGAAAGATACATTTGAATCAACTAAAGAAATGTAGGATACTACCTTGTGTGAGTTTATTAAATACAAAATCATATCTGATAATCGCACATATACAAGGTTTGATTTACATATTTCGAATTTGTCTACTGATTGCATGTGTGCATCTGGATTAAATGAATGACAACTTAATCTCCTGAACAAATGATCACTTTTACGTATCTTAGATATAGGACTGGTGTGAATTTGACCAAATCTGATTAAAATACGGATCCTTTATTCACAATTTGTTTACAAGGATCTGACAACACTCCGTATTTTTTTCTGTTCCGGTAATTATAATATCAGCCAATGAAATATCTACCTACACATTTTTGAAAGTGTCTACAATTACGACAAAAGCAGAAAATACCGAAAGGTCTTCAAAACATTCGGTAGAACGGAACATTTTTACACCCATGTACATGTAACCGGAGCATGGAATCAGGATAAGCCACTTTAATCAGATTGAATTTAACCATCAATAAAATTCCGTCTAGTAACCAATTCAAAGTCAAGTAATTAGACATTGCAAAACTCGTAAAAACATGCTTATGAAATATGTTTTACATGCTGAACACATTGAACTAAACTAAGTACAAGAAAGAGCAACCTAGTTCCCGGAAAGTAAATGCGACCGTTCCACCTATAGCAAACTTACACATTTCAAAATCACCAATTTTGGTGAATGATTTTCAATAGAATAAAGAAATATGGACACTCTTGAAAAATGCAAACAAAATATAAAGTGTTTTTTTCTTATATTCATGATATTTTATGGTGTACAACCCATATACAACCCATATATGTACAATAATAATTAAATCAAATGACTGTTCATGATTTCCCTGCATAAAAATAAAGAAAAGAATAATTTCACTCTAATCCAACACACACAAACGTTAAAGTATTTTTATCCTAAGATTATTCACATTTTATGACAAATAACTCATCCAGGGGCATTTGAAATGACTAATGGCGAATATGATTTTAATAAAAAGAAGAAATATGGAAATGTTTAAACAATGCGACCACAATTGTAGTAACTTGTCTCTGAAAAATACTTGAATACAGCTACTATTAGTTATGCTAAAAATAAAGTGTGTTTTAATAAATACATGAAGCCTAGAAGAAATACACTGAAAACAAAGTAACGTCACCTGTATGCTTCCGGTGTCAAATGTAAACACTAGGCGTTTTTAGGCTTCCTGTACGCACCAGAATGTAATAAGATTTAAAAAAGAGCATTTTAGTTGAAAAATGTGAGGTATTTTATTTACTATTGAATAAATAACATGTCAGAACATTCCATAATTCAATGATCGGCTTCTCTTAACTACAGACAGGTAGAAAGAGAATTAAACGCCCGTTGTCATCAAATCCAAGCCATTGATACACAATGATTGCATTAGAAATAGATTTTGTACCCTTTAAATTTGGCAATTAATTTAACATAGTTGTGCTGATATTTAGAGTAGTTATGAATATAAAATGTGTTTTCAGCCGTGTATCACCTTCACTGGTGATCCAATGGATGGATCTGTCGTAGAGTTGTCACCTGTTTAGACGTACTTATCAAAATAATTATTCTGTGACTGTATCTTACGATCCTTTACGATAGATATTTAGCTAATCAGCAATCAATTCAATCTTTTTAACGCCTTATATATCATATACTGTGTTACAACTCTAGATTTTACTGACGAGGAAAGGTAACACTAGGCCACCGAAAGCTGAATTTTTAGTTC